ATGAGGAGGGAGAGGAGGAGGAAGATAAAGAAGAAGTGGAAGAGGAGGAGGAGGGAGAGGAGGAGGGAGAGGAGGAGGAAGATAAAGAGGAAGTGGAAGAGGAGGAGGAGGGAGAGGAGGAGGGAGGGATGAAGGAGGAAGAGGAGGAAGAGGTAGAGGAGGAGGAAGAGGAGGGAGAGGAGGAGGAAGAGGAGGAGTCGTCCCAGGCAACTGTAGGAGGTGACCAGAGAGAACACAGGTCTGGAGATCACTCCATGGTAAGAGCATGTTCTGCTCTTGTAGAGGGTCCCTCAGTGTGGATCTGAACACCCACATGAGATGCTGCTCAGAACTATCTGCAGCTCCATCTCCAGGGGATCCTCTGGCTTCCTAGGACAGCTGCATTCACATGTACATACCCTGACCCAGTCACACATGTATATATAAATTACACATGTATATATAAATTACACACACATGCACGCACGCATACACATGCATGCACACACAGACACAGACACAGACACAGACACAGACACAGACACAGACACCACACAAGCACACATTGTATTTAAGAACACAGGCCAGCTGACTGCTATGAAAAGGTACTGTCCTGGTTGGTCTTTCTCTCCCTTTCCTTTCATCAACTTGACACAAACTAAAGATATCGGAGAAGAAGGATCCACAATTGAAAAAACATCTCCATAAGATTGGCCTGTAGACCAAAGCCTGTGGCACAGTTTCTTAGTGATGGATGTGGGAGGGCCCAGATCACTGTGATCACTGTGGTGGTGCCACCCTGGTCAGGTGGTCCTGGGTTATATAAGCAGGCTGAGCAAGCTATGCAAAGAAAACCAGTAAGTAGTATCCTTACAGCCTTGGCTTCAATTCCTTCCTCTGGGTTCTTACCCTGACTTCCCTTCATGGTGGACAACAACTAGAATCTGAAATAAACCCTTTCTTTGGGGTTTATTTGGTTTATTGAAACAAGCAAGCCAAAACCAACAACAATAAAAAACATGCTTTTAGTCATGGTGTTTTATCATAGCAACAGAAATCCCAACTATGACAGAAACTGATACCAGGGATGAGGTTTGGGGGAAATGTGTAGGAAGAGCTAAGGTGGGAGAAGTACGGAGAGGAAGAGGAAGAGACAGAAGGAGGAGGAGGAGGAGGAGGAGGAGGAGGAGGAGGAGGAGGAAGGAGAGAGAGAGAGAGAGAGAGAGAGAGAGAGAGAGAGAGAGAGAGGAGGATGGAGAACCACACAGGTAAGGAGAGCACTCGTGGGGAACAACTTATAAACTTATAATTAGGTTAGCTAATTGAGATACAACTCTCTTTGTATGGGCATCTTGTTATTAATCATTATCAAACATATAAAGCCTTTGATTAATCTGTAAGAACCAGAGTCTCATTCTCTTACTGGGCCCGCATGGATGGCGGAATAATCTGGGCAATGCCTAGCCTTGCAGAGACAGCGTGGAAGATTGGCAGAGCTATCTCTCACGCTGGCATCTCGTGGGTGGCAGGGCTGGTGTTTCTGGCAGGCCGTTCTAGCTGCAGCGCGCACCGCACGTGGCCTCAGGCCGAGAAACATGGTGGCTGGGCTAGGCAGAGCGGCTGCAGCTTAGATAGTCGGATGAACCAGAGGCCAGTTTTAAATACTTAATACAACAGAAATGGACATGTTTTTTGAGAGGATGGTGGACGGACTTTGGAGCCTCAAGAGGCCTTTGCATGTTGAGAGCCTGAGGGTTGTTATGACAACTCAGAAGCCAACGCAGAGAGTAGTGTAGATGGAGGTCTGGCCTGTGAGGTTCCACAGGGGAGTCTGAGGGTCCCTCTAATGTTAAACTGGGGCCATGAGATAATCTGTGTTAAGAATCTGTGTTTCTGGTCAGCCAGGGCTGAAGACTTGGCTGTGGTTAACGAGAGACCAGAACCACTCACGTGAAACCTTTGCTTGCTAGGGCAATGGATGCTGGTCAGCTGGGGCTAAAGATTCAGCTTTGGTTAGGAAGCCAGAATCATTGACGCAAAGACTTCTGGGAAGGGTTTCCTTAGGGTCACTGCACGGATGCTGTGGTCCAGAGAGGACCAAGGCTGTACCTTGTGCTGCAGCTGAACTTGCTCACGTGTTAGAGTCACACAGGTGGTACTGGTTTTAAAGGCATGAAGACTCCGGAAGAGCAGCTGAGGCTTGGCACTGTGAGAGGCCCGGGGAGGTCACTGGTGAAGGCACTGCTTCAGTGTCTGAAGCTCCCCCAGGATTGAAGGGATCATGGAGAGAAAGAAGCTGAGGCTTGGACTAGGTCATGGTCCTGGAATAGAGCCCTAGAGGAGCTATTGGTGAAAGTACAGCTCAGTTGTGTGCAGACCCCAGCATTTTAAAAATGCCAGTACCATAAGATAACCAGCAATGACAGCAGCAGCTGTAGGGTGGAGCTAGCCTGAGCCTGTGAGACAAGTGTGCTGTGAAAGGCAGAGATAGAGAAACGGAACCTTTCAGAGTCCAGAAGACCATGACTTTTAGATGTCAGACAATGAGCTGTTTACACTTCTAGACCTGGGTTTAGCTTGGGCCCGATTCTTCCCTCTCAGGGTCTTTAACTCGTTTTTGATTTCTCAGAAACTCACCATTATGAGCAGTGTTGCTAGCAAGCCCTTCCCTTTCCAGAAGCCTCATGGGCCTAGCACTTGCCAATCAGACTCGCTGTAACCCCGATGTTTGGGTTGCCAAGAGCCTGACTTCCCCTGGAAAATGAGAGCTCCCTGGTCACAAGGGTTAACAGTGCTCACTCCCAGCCCCCACTTCCACAACCTCCCCCCACACCCCAATCCCTTGCAGCATCGTTCCTAACCCAGGCCAAGAATGGCTGGAGAGGTAGGAGAGCCAGAGGCTCTGGCAGGAGCAGGTAGCATAAGCACAGCTTCCCATGATGCCTCAATTATTTATAGATAGATATATTGAGCCTGGCATGAATGTCACTTCAACATGTGTGTGACGGTTCATTTAGTCAGCTTGACAGAATCTAGAATCACCAAAGAGATGAGTCTCAGGGGACACCTATGAGGACCTGCTTGGTAAGGTTAATTGAAGCAGAAAGAGTCACCCACTGTGGGTGGCGTCATTCCCTGGCTTACTGGACTGTAGACCACGAGCTGGACACTGATTGGCCTCCCCTGCTCTCTGCTTCTTCTTTTTAAGGTTTATTTATTTATTATGTATACCATGTTCAGCCTACGTGTATGCCTGCCCACCAGAAGAGGGCGCCAGATGTCATTACAGATGGTTGTGAGCCACCACGTAGTTCCTGGGAATTGAACTCAGAACCTCTGGAGGAGCAGACAGTGCTCTTAACATTTGAGCCATCTCTACAGTTCCTGTTCTCTGCTTCTTGACTGGATGCTATGTGCCCAGCTGCCTCCAGCACCTGCTGCCTACACCACAGTCCCCCGGCAGTGAACCATAACCTGGGTTAATTTGACTTTGAATTGGTTTCTCTCTTAATTTGACTTTGAATTCCTTTCTCTCTTGAATTGTTTTTTTTTTTTTAAGACTTGTTTTTTTTTCCTGTGTACCTGGGTGTTTTGCCTGCACGCATGCCTGTGTACCATGTACATGCCCACGGAGTCAGAAGAGGGCATCAGATCCCAGAGAACTGGGGTTAAGAGACAGTTGTGAGCTGTCATGTGGTTGCTGGAAATGGAACCTGGGACCTCTGAAGGAGCAGCCAGTGCTCCTGATAGCTGAACCTTCTCTCCAGTCTCTCCTCAGGGTGCTTTATCACAACAACAGGAAGAGAACCTGTTTTTTACTATGCGAAGTCCTGGGTTTGACTCCAGCATCTCAATACCTGTCCTGGCTCACCCCCACCCTCTTTACCCCTCCCAATCATTCCAATCTTATTTAATACGATGAACCTATTTAATATTGTATTTTCTTTTTTTTTGTTTTTTTGAGTTAATATTATTTAATACAATATTATTTATAATATTATTTAATACGACAAACCAGCCACACCCAGTCTCCTCAACAAACAAGCTCCTGTCTCTAGGACTCTGCTCACAATCTCCCGTCTTCCAGGAATGCCTTCCACCTAAAGTTCCTCCCTCGGACACCCAGCCTTTAAGGCCCAGCTCCAGCCCCGGTTATGAAGCAGTTATAGCCACGCCAGGCAGACACAACACCTTCTGACCACACACTCCCACAATGCACTCTTCCGACACGCATACAGAGACGCCGGTTCTGTGGCTCCCTGTCTCATCGCCCGTTTTACGCCCCTTGCCTAAGGAGTCAAGTGCGCCCATTTGCAGGAAAGGAAAGTGAAGTTGAGAGAGGTCCGTCGCAGAGTCAGAGCTGGATTTGATTTCCCAGGGTTGGACTCTCAAGTCCCTGTCATTTCAGATTGGCTAAAGGAGTGCTCTAAACCTTCCTTATCTTCCTCGGGGAACCTTTCTTTTTACCCACGTCTAGGTCAGAGCCGGGTACCGAATACTATGGAATTGATGTGAAGGTGAAAGTCGGTGAGTCATCTCCCCTGTTAACAATTAGGGCAGAAAGGGCTTCCCAGGGGAAGACTTCAGGCCTAGCAGAGACATCCTGCAGAGTTGGAGACCAGGAAGGCCCTCCCAGCCAGCTGCTCTCTCCTTCCCTCCCCTCCCCATCCCGCCCTTTCTTTCTTTATTTAGCCTATGTGCCTGTTTGTACTCTGAAATCATAGCCCTCAGGTGGAGCTGGTAGCCAGTGCGGCTCGGGGTTCAAATTCAGGTCACCAGGCTTGGCAGCAAGCGCAGTTACTTGGTAAGCCACTTTGCTGGCCCTCTTTCACATCTGAGTTAGGGATGCCTGTGACATCAAACAGGGAACTTGGAGGCCCATGCTTCTCTGAGTGGTGTGGATGAGTTCCGAACTCTAGGACAGTGGCCTGTATGCTCCATCCCACCTTCTTCTGCTGCCTTTATGACAGGGGAAATTCAAAGCCGCAGGACCCACCCCTCCTCAGACCCGCCAGCCTCACCCTCTGTGCTGGCATCATCCACCAGGATGATTTCCTTCAGCAAGATGGCAGGGCTGGTGTGCAGGACGCTGTATACCGTGCGCAGCAGAGTAGACCAGGCTTCATTGTGGAATACAATGATCACACTGGTGGTGGGTAGTGGTGGGCAGCGCCTGAACTTCTGGTCAACACACCTGGAATGATGGACACAGCTCTCTTAATTCCAGGGGAGAGGGGCGGAGTTCCATGAGGGGAAAGGAAAGATATCTGCCTAAAACTCTCCAACCATTCCCCACCACTTACCGCGGAGCACGAATGCGCATGCCCACGCATGCCCACTCACCAATCTCCATCCCACCCACCACCCACTCCCGCCATTGTGCTTGGGAATAGCTGCACATACCCTGTGGCTACATCCTCCTACCCTCTGTGCAAGTAACTAGCCAGACCCCTCCAAAACCACTCCCTGAGCTAGCTCAGTGACCTAGCGTGATGCTCAGGTACCGCC